ACAAGTGTTTCAATTTATTGCACTTTAAATTTTCTGACATAAATTTGATACTTTGGTTGTTGGTAGTTGCTAGTGTTAACATGCAATTTTACAATTTTATCTTTTGCCACTATGAATAAAATATTCCGATAAAAATAGCGCGAGAAGCAATTGTGTTACCGTTACAACAACGTCGTTAATAATTCCTTTTTTAATTGTTAATCACAAATTTCGGCAAACAACGTCAACGATTAATTTTCGACTTTTAAAAAGTTAACTCTCCCACCGAAAATTTCCCTCGACACCGTAATTCCAAATTTAAAACAACACACGAAATTACATAAATAATGATCCAATGTAAATTCGATGGAAATTCTCCGACGATCTATCCGCGAAAAAAAAAAGACTGATTCTCGTTGAGAGATCTCGTTGTTATATTATTTTTTTCCTCCCCCCCCCGCGATTCATTTTCGTGGAAGTAAAAACGAGAAACGTGGGATTAATTAGAATGATTGGGAAACCATTGAAAATCGATGTAACCCGGTGAAAAGCTTCAGTCGATCGAGAGAGCTGCGCGCAAAGTCAACTCGAAGCCAGCCGATACGAAGACTATTATTAAATCTATTATTTCTGTGTTATATATGTTTTGGCGCTGGTCCTCTTTGCAAAACCGATACAGCAGAAACGCGCTACGCGTTTGTAATTCATCGTTTCGAATCTAATAAATCGAGCCGAATTACATTTACAATACCGGTGTTCCGCGATTTCGCGAAAACATCATACGTCGACGAACGTTTGTTACCGAACAAGAGAAATACGGTCGAATATCTATTCGTTTGAATTACTTTTACGCCGTTTATTTCGAATTGAAGCATTTACTGCCGGCCGTGTGATACCCATTCCGAACTACGTGCGTGCGCGTGGTTTATTTGATTATTAAACATTATTTTTTTACTCGTCGATGATCGTAGAAACACATCGTTGTATGTCGTACGTAAATCTTTTAATGAAGCAGGAAGTTAGTGCGGAACGTATCGAGCGTGTTGATATCGAGCAACGTCGTTCCCTTGCTCGTAAATTTTCGTAGAAATTTGTAATGTACAGATATTAATACCAAACCCAAAGGAAATTAATTTGTAATCCTCTGGTGAGGAATGAAATTCATTTTTCTGTACGAGCGACTATGAATTGAATTTTTGAATTGTGATTAATTTTCAAGTCTTCTCATTGTATTAACGATTCAAAAATGGATTTTACATTTATTAAAACTCGGTAGGGAAAATGTATTTTACATTCAGGGAAGAAAATAATCATTTGTCAATGCATTGACCATTACGAGTTCACGTTAAATCAACGTTTAAATCTGAAATTAGCTTTGATACTAAATTGATACTAAACACTAGAAATTAGTATCAGATGAAAGATAATGAATCATATTTAGATCAGATGATGATAATAATGAATCAAATTAGTATCGGATGAAAGATAATGAATAATATTTTATATCTCACTAACGTGTAATCTGGTATGATTTCTGTCTCAGGGTCTTCAAGATGAGGCTGACGAGGGATACGAGCTTGTTCGATGAGGACGTGGTCTTCGAGGGATCGAATGGCCGGCAAATTGCTTTCGATCCATTGCATGCCTACAGCGGAACCCTCGAGGGTAAGTGAGCAACGAGTTTGTTGGAATTTTTTTCAGCGGAAGAGAGGCGTCGCGAATGAACAGCCGCGACCGTTAATAGCGCGAGGGTAATTCATTAAAACGGGAACGGTGCTTCAATGTGAACGTGAAAATCGCTATAGAATAAAAAAAAAAAGAAAAAAAAAGGAAAGAAAGAATGAAGCGGAAGAGTCTTGATTCTCAATGTTTCTAAAAAAAAAAAAAAAAAATTCGGCTCATTGTCGCGCAAAAATTGTCAGAATTGCACGGATCTCGATCTCAAAGCGAAATGAAATAATAATCGCGAGGACTCTCGCTGTTTCCACGAGAGATTACATTATCGCTCGATGAAATATTATTACATCCCAGGAGAGAAATATATTAAAAAAAAAAAAAATCTCTGGTTCCATTTAGCTTAAAAGTGAACAATTTTCGTTACCGTTGGCAACTCGTTGGCATAATTCAATTATCCGTTCGCTGGTTACCGCGAATATTTCAACTCGGTCTGCTTTCAACAATTTGCGGTTCATTTTCCTCGGAACATTTTTCTTCTCTTCACTTTTCATACATTTAAACGTACGAAAATAAAAGAAAAGAAGCGAGAAAGAAAAAGAGAAAGAAAGAAGAAAGAGAAAAAAATACAAAGGGAAAAAAGAACATATTACGGAGAAAGATACGATGTACGGCAACCAACAGGGAAGATCGGTGCTTCGAACTGGACGCATCTAACGAGAAATTCACGCGCTACCTCTAATGAAAGCACTTCGCGCTTATTTCTGAATCTTTGCCGGCGGTTAGAGGGGGGGGGGAATAAAAAGCGGCGAATTCCGGTTGGTCGGCGATGAAAGAGCCACTAGACGATTCCCTTTCTTTCCTTGCCAAGATCCTGCCAGTGAAATTAAAATGCAGACGTGAATCGATTCGCCATAGTCTCGCAATTCTCAGCCGGTTTTCGCCCGGTGAAATATCGCGACGATATTAAGCTGCATGTATGTACGTACATATGTGTGTGTGTGTCTTTGTATATATATATGCGAGGATTCATCGGCGAATACCGGTCAAATAGATCGATAAACAGTTGGAAATTGCCGGCACTAAAAATGATAGGGTTGAAGATATCGTGCTTAAAAAATTCTACAAACAGTCCGGCCAACAAATAATCGAAATCGAAGCGTCGTTAAAGATGTTTAACCGAGGCATCTAGTCGTTTGTCGACATGTTTTCGCAAGCATGTTTTTCATTTTCGCTCAACGTGTGTCGGGGCAAGAGCACATACACGAGAGCAAGCTGCGATATTTTTTAATACAATGCAGCGTCAGTTGTTGCGAGCAGATGGCACCGAGGATATCGAGATTCGAGTCACGTGAACGTTTCTCGCGCGTTTTATTCGATTACATCAATTTTAAAGCCTCTCTCTCT